GTGTCGCACGCGCACTCCTGCTGCCAGGGCCCACCTAGGGTCAGGTCCGTGGCCAGCTGCTGGACAGACTATCCGCTTCGCCCGGAGAGGAGCAGCTCTGAGGTCCACGCATGCCGCAGCCACACAGCGTCAGGTATTCGGCAACGCCGTGTGCCCATGGACGTGTAGTGCGACAAACGTTCACTACGTCACCATCACGGTGAGAAGTAACATCGACGAAGCAGCATCCATTTTGTATATTCATTGTATTTCATCTTGTTTCATTCACATTTCACCTAGCATGTAGCATCAATAAATCGTATGTGCAATGAAATTCGTGTAAATTTGTCATCCTCCGTCTCCCTTCTTAACCAGCGCCATCCCTCTCCCCCCGGGTACCTCACGGCCCGGTGCGGTGTATAAAATACTTTGTATTGAGAAGGGCCTTTCATTTTGCTATCACCCCCCTCCCCCGTTCAAGGTATTCTTCCCCCTTCTCTGTACAGTAATAATCTTTCAAAAGCACAATATTTGTAAGCTCAATACATCGTTAAGAATACAATTTATTGTTTAAATTATCAAGAAAGTGAAATGGAGCCAAAAAGTATGAAGAAGCCTATATTACTGTAAATGAAGGTGAAAAGTCCAAGCAGGTTTGAAGATTCCAACTGAAAACTCATCATGAAAGGGACCTTTAAGGTTACTCAAATCCTACACAATCTCACACAAATCTTACTCAAATCTTCTATCTACAAATAACCGTGTTTATAAGATAAATCATACAGTACTTGAAAACATTGTTAAAATGTTAAGAAACCTTGAACAAAAAATGTCTACGCACATGATCAACTAATAAACTTTGAGTTACATTTTGGTGCATATATTACTCGTATTTTAGAAATTACACCATCATATCATACAATATTTTAGTAACCGGAAGCTACCAGATAGATACTACTTCAAAATATTAATCGTTGGAACATTTCTTGACTCAGGAAATGCTGACAAAGAGAAAAATCAACGTAGCTGGCGGTCGTCTTCAAACTGTCGTTCTGTGGAGGTCAAATTATCATGCAACCATACAAAGCTAGAACTGCGCCTGCAAAAGCGTCGAACACCAAGTGCTACAAAGCTAGGCCTCTACATAGTTGTAGCGTAAGCCATAGGTGCAAAGCGACATAGTAACATGCAACATTTTCTAACTACTGCGCACATGCATACAGCCAGCTGCTGGAATAGATATGCATGTTAGAATGGTTGGGAGTTACAAACAATTAGAAACATTTAGTTAACGGTTTTAGTTAAAAATACATAAGAAAACATCCAGCAACTCAAATGAGTTAATGAGTGACTAGTTCATGCTTTAGTCAGCCGATTCACACACGATCACACTCACACGATTCAGCTCGTTCAATCGTAAGTTGGAGAAGGAGAAGAAGGTGGAGGAAAGAGAGGACTTATGGAATTAGGGGAGAGGAAAATGCTAGAGAAGAAAAGGCGCGAGAGAAAACCACTTCAATCGGTCTTAGAGTGAGGAATGTGTGTAATTTGAGAAGGACAAAGGAAACTGAAGAAGCTTCAAAGATTCAACAAACCATTTGTTTTAAATATCAAAGGCCCCTCAATAGTTTGCTTCGAAGATTTGGCAACGGTTAGCCTTTACATGATTGGCTATCTTAAATAAACGGTTGAATAAAGTGTATTCTGATTATTTTATGAAATTCAGATACAGTGCGTTTAATACCTAATATTACCATTAAATTTTATACAAATTAAACGTGCGTTACTTGCGTACGAATGTTTTGTAATCTATCGACGAAAATAGTAACAACCAGATAATTGTTTAAATCAACTCCCCGCAGAGTTGACCAAAGTCAGTCATGATAAATAACTCAATCATTCTAGTTTAAATATTTTACACGATTTATATTCATTAAATTACGCTGACACTATTTACCTATATTATACTCAAGTTCCCAGTGAGGGTGGACGAAATATATACGAGTACTTCTACAGACAACGGAACTAATATTTGAGTACCCATCGTACTGTATATAGCAATATTTTTTCTGTTGTGTACTGTTCGTTGAATCTTTTTGGTTTCTGATAAACAACAGTAGGGGACAATCGAAAAAGTGAGGAAATTAAGACCTCAAATACTCGTATATGAGGACGTTACAAATAAACGGAAATATTTCCATTAATGACAATTTGATTTTACTCATCTCAGAGTCTGAAATACAGCATATACTAAAACTCATAATAATTCTTAAAAATATGAATGGTCTCTTTTGTAATTAGTAAATATTTATATCTGATTTCTAATTCATGGAAATAAAATGGTAAAAATGAACGTAATACAACATTCAACTAACTTTTATCATCATTTCAACAGGATTTGGGAAATTTATTCGTTTAAAATCAATAATTAAAATTTCTAGAAAGAAATATACTTCACAAATCCGCAATGTTACTATTAAAATGACAAATATAACGTACTTTGAATTGAGAAGAATAATGTCTTTTAGTTTGTGGGAATTGATTCACACTGCTAGAAAGTGTCTATTGATTTTATGTTTGGAGAGTAATGTAGTGTGTATTATTTAAAAAAACATATTAGGTCAATTAAAAATGAAACTTTTTAGTAACTTGTAAAATATTAGTTCCGTAAGGAGCTTCAAAAGGGTTAAAATGAGGGAGTCATATTTAGAACGAACTCACTCTTTCTTTTTTTCCACACCTTACAAAAAGGGTTATATTATTTTTAGAACATCAGTTTCCACCATACGTTTATTTATGTACAATGATTATTAATACAAATTACAAACTCTTGCTTAAAAAATATTGAGCGCTTTTTTTCTGAAGCTACAAATATATACAGTGTAATTAAGTGCAATTAGGCAGCGTTTCATTATTCACTGTGATTTAATATATCTCTTCGTTAATTAGCTTATATACAGCGCTTTTATGTATGTATTATTGATTTTTCAGATATAAATATTATGATATAGACTTTAGAAACACTTACTTTAGCGCATTGTAACAGGAATGCCAAGGTAGGAACTGTTATAGTGTAGGGTTCTGAGTGTTGAGATTCAATAGTAAAATACGTAGAAAAAATATTTGTTCGTCGTGGTTTGTAATAAACTCGAAGTACATGGAGATTGAAACTAACAATAATACAATAAATCAAGTATTGTACTTTTACTTGGTCGATTTTTGGAAAGCACAGAAAAAACAAATATTTGTCTTGTCTTTTGAGTTCGAATGTAATAGAGGCTTGCGCACTCATACATTTACACGATATTTAATGATTTATAAAGACCATAAATACGTTGAAAATGTCATCACTCAATCCGAATGAGTAATGAACATTATTTTCGAAACTGATATTCATAAAAATATACTTCAATATTTATGATGCACAAGTTCTAAACATGCATTATGCGGCACACGTAAGTTTTGCCTATTCCTAAAAATAAGCACAAACACAGTCAAGAAATTAATCGGAATTAATTTATTTTTACTTTGCCAAATAAAGAAAATAATTTTCAGAAACATCTGAATGTGCGTATTGCATATCTGGTCGAATTTCGAGGAGCGTGAATACTCTTATGGAAGCCGCTGTGAATTCGTACAAGGTACCAGGTAAACATTTTTATGAAATGAGGTAAATTATTTAATAATATATATGAGAATAGTGACATGTTAATTCCTACAATTTTATAACTTGGTAGGAAAGCTTTCATTATGTGCGGGTGCAAAATAGAAGCCTCTACCTCTGCCTAGAACATACCTACTACTTTGCAAAACACCACCTGAACATGATATATGTTTGTTCGGAGTGAATAGTCAATATTCGGCGTACACAACATTGCCATAATTGATTGATTCATTTATTCATTGACTGACGTTTTTGGAAACGACAACCGCTATGGTTATTGTCAGTACATGAATGTTTTCTACGCCTTGAGACAGTGATGTCCATCACCAGTTGGTTGGTGAGACAGGGCGCCGATCTACACATCGGCTTAAGGGGAAATCCCTCTCTTGTTATCCGTTTGTTAGGGTACTACTCCGGCATTCGCCATGTGCTGATCGGAGAAACCACGAAAAACTACCGATAACAGCAGCCGGTTGTTAAACTTCTCCCCCAGACAGCGGCTGAATTCGACTTAGCTAAATTGCTAAACCGAAAATCCGCCACAGTCTGGACTCGACCCTAAGGCCTCCCGGTCAGAGGCGCTACAGAGACAGCGGCAATACTGGTTCTGAGATAAACCCCGGTTATTAAACAGCAGCAGGTCATTATCATCAAAATAAATTGTTTGAACTGTGAGGAGAATAAGCCTGATTCACTCCGACTATTCTTTCCGATCAGACATACGGTAGCGTTTTCCTACTCATTCTGCACACTACCAATGCTAATGAAGCTCATCCTACAGACCGTTACCATCGCCTTCACACATTCAGTTTTAGAGTAGCTGAAGAGAATGTACACTAGTACGTACATGAAATTACGTTGATTACAAATAATAATGTTTCATTTACAACAAAAGTATACCTTGATTAACGAAGCATTTTTTCGTGGGTGGTGAAAAATAAACATTCACTTGGGTGCATTACAAGATCTGATTACGTTAAGAAAGTGTCCATAGCATTGACTTGCATAGTGTCAAATGTCCATACCATTGACTTGTTGCCTAAATGTTCGACAATACTGCAATTTTAAACAATGAAAAAACATTAAATATTTAACCACACCAACCTGTATTAAGATATCTAAATCTCAAATATACATAAAGCGAGAAAAAGTTGTCTTTGTCTGGAACATACCAATCAAATTGTAGGAATCCACATGTCATATTTCCATAAACCCGCAACTTGTACGAACCCACCTAACCCGGCGTGTGCGTGTGGGCCGGTGTGTGCGTGGGGATGAGGCGAGGGCGGGAACAGCGGGTGATGTGTGGGTGGAGCTGGTGAGGGGTGGGGGTGTGGCGCGGATGCCCCGCGGTCGTTCACTCACCACTCATGAAGTTGTAGATGATGGGGTTGACGGCGCTGTTGGCGTAGCACAGCCAATGCGACAGCAGCGAGATCACCACTGTCGTGTCGTTCTGCGGCAGGTTGAGCGTGTACCTAGAGATGGCAAAAATGTTTGAAATACCGATATACCGATATCGGCGCATTACGTTGAAAAGCCTGTAAACCAGTACAAGGAAAAAGGAAACAATAACTTGTAATAACTTAATATCTTATGAGGTAGTCGGGATAAATGCACACAAGCTTCAGTCTAAATTATATTTATTATTATTATTATTATTATTATTATTATTATTATTATTATTATTATTATTAAGCGTATTGCATTACTGCATTTTAGTCATTTTAAAATTTTCTGGCCATTTCGAAAAAGAGTGAATATAAAATAAGTCTTACCCTGAAAAGGCTCTCAAAAATCCACATAAACACTTTCAAAAACCGTCGTCTCAGGAAAACTCTCTATATTGTAATAATATTATTTTATACCAATAATAATACTAACATTCTTAATAATACTATTAATAATAATAGAAAACGATTAAAAATGATTATGAATTATTTAAAATGTAACTACTTTTCCATCTCACTTTAATAAATGTTTTCCAACAAGTTTTCTAACTTGCCCAGCACATTCGCAGAGGGTATTTACGATCTTAGGAGGCCTTCGAATTCACATTAATAATATCACTTTGTTTTGACTAAAATTTGTCATGTAATAACAAAGGAAAATGACTCTTTCGTGCTCTTTTACGCCATGCTTTTATGGTAGTAAACTTTACTCAGAAAAATACTTCCAAGAGAAAAAGACATAAATGAATGTTTTCCTTCTCTTTGCTCAAGCGTTCTCAAGCGGAATTACGGACGTGGAAAATTTCAGAATTATTATTAAAGACGTGAAGATAAAAATAATGATACCCTCATTTCACATTCCAAAATTTACACCGAGAATCTACTAACAAAAACAACAACAAACAAAAATGACGCTAACGCTGTAAAATGTATTAATAGAAAACGAATACCTTAGTCAGATGAATATGCAAAAGTTACATGAATAACGATGAAATGGTAATTTCGAATATCGATCGGGTAATGCTGTGTATAGTGTGCTAGATCAAGTGTGGGCAACATGTGTTCCCGAGAAGTACTTGACAAAAATGCGTAGGAAATTATACTTAGCACGTACTGAAAGTCGTTTTATGTAAATCCAGAAGGCTGCAGCCTTTTTACCATCTCAGAAAAGCGTAGCGAAGCTTCAACTGAGGGGTAGAGTGAAGTTAGGTTATATTAGGTAGTAACGTATAAATACAAATTTAGGACCGACACAGTGAAACACGAAACTTGTTTCTCAGTAGTCTTAGAAATTTCCCATCAGTAGTCTCGGTCCTGTTTATCACACGTCTGTAATTCCTCGTCATATTACTACATTAGCCAGCTTATTAGCCAGCTCGCGATTGTCGCCAGTTGCAAGTAAAAACGGAAGTATGCTTCGACGCTTTACCTACCCTAACATTATCCATCTATTTGGATGAAGTGAACAGAAACTGGCCAATTCGAGAATTACCCTAAGCGAGAACCGTCAACATAGAGCGTTTCTTCGTCGTATATTATTATTATTATTATTATTATTATTATTATTATTATTATTATTATTGGCGTATATGCCATTAC